CGCGTGCACCATCGCGGCTCCGTGCACCAGCGTGGCTCCCGTGCACCATCGCGGCTCCGTGCACCAGCGTGGCGCCATGCACCAGCGCGGCTCCCGTGCACCAGTGTGGCTCCGTGCACCAGCGCGGTTCCCGTGCACCATCGCGGCTCCCGTGCACCAGCGTGGCTCCGTGCCTGCAGTGGGACACGCAAGTCCTGCTCTCCCTCTGTCTGTGCTTTTCTTCTCTTTCTTGCTGTAGGTCAATGTGCTCCCTGTGCTGAGGGTGACCAGAACTCCCTTTGTCGAGTGCCACTGAAGGCACGTCCTTCCAGGCAGGGATTTCCGTTTGGAAAAGCCATCACGTCACATTGCGGTACGACTGTTTATTGGACCACCAGAAAAGAAAGATGCCTGTGGCAACCAGGAAGTTTGAAGATCTCTCAGTGTCTGAAATGGATCTGCAGAAACGTCTTAAGCATTGTCAGGGTGCAAAGCTGGAGCCGAAATGTGATACTGAAACCCGTAGCGGAAAGTGTCCAGCAGCCGCGTTTGGAGGCCAAACCGGGTACCGACAGGCAAGGGTGCCCCAGACCCGGCTTGGCTGGCCTCGCCCACACCGCAGGTGCGGGACCTGACTGCACGGGCTTCACAGCGTTACATCTTCTAGGTGGTTGGGGGTTTGCGTAGACACCTCCCAAATTGTATCCACAGTCTTACAGACGCCCACGTACTCTCCCAGCTCGGCGAGAGTAACTGGTCTGGCCCTTCTGTGCTCACCCAGGAGAACTCGGAGGACTAAATGCCGTGAGTGCTGAGGGCCGGGGCTGACTGTCCCCACACGAACGACTATACTCTGTGTTGTGTTCTGAAAATTTGCCCTGGAGTTGGAAGGTGCTGCTGGCTTTCTGGAGGAGTGGGCCATGCAGAACCAGAGTGGAATCTGCTTGGCTTCCTGGGGGTAGGGACTGATTTGTTGATTGTGATTTTTTAGAGGCTTTGGCTATAGGCTGCATGTGCTCACCAGAGAGAGAAAGAGACAGAGACAGTGAGAGGGAACATGAGAAATCACCCCCCCAGGGAGGATGGCCACGCCACAATCCTTTCACCTCGGTTCTCCTGGGACCTTGGGTACACACACCCATGCACCCTGATTGATTTTCAAGCCATTGGGTCTGGGACTTGAACTGTGGTCAGTCATGTGGGAGTCTAGCAACGTAACCACTATGCCTCTTGCTGGACCCTTACTTTTATGTATTATTATTATTGTTATCATTATTATTTTTAAATTTGACAAGAAAAAGGGAGGGAAAGTGGGAAAGCAAGCCACCAGGTCTGGGACTTGAACTGCAGTTGGCCATGTGTGAGTCCAGCACATTAATCACCATGCCACCTGCTGGCCCCTACTGGTGAGCTTTTGGAAGCTTCTTCTGTATGATATCAAGACGCCTGCTTCCTTGCGTGCGTCTCCGTCTGCTCGCTCGTATCTGCCTCTTCCTATTTACATGCGTGCCTCACAGAAAGCAGGTAGTTGAGTCATGCTTTCTGACCTACTTGACAGACTGCTTTTAATTGGACAGTTTATCCATTGATATTTGCGTTTTTTATATAGCTGACTTAAGTCTACCATTGGCTTTTTGTTTCTCTCTTCCTTCTTTTTTTAAAAAGAATTATTTAATTTAACTTCATTTATTAATTACTATTATTATTATTATTAATTTGACCAGAGATAGACAAAGAAAGAGAGAGAAAGTGAGAAAGCAAGCCACCCAGTCTGGGACTCAAACCCCAGTTGGCCACATGGGAGTCCAATGCCCTTAACCATCATGCCACCTGCTGGCCCCTCTCTCTTTCTCTTTTATTTGCCTTCTTTTGGGTTAAGCAAGCCATCAGGTTCGGGACTCGAACTGTGGTCGGCCATGTGGGAGTGTCCAGCACCTTAACCACCACACCACCTGCTGGTCCCCTAGACTTGATTTCTTTTAGATTTTCTTTCTAAAGATGAAAGGAGAGGTTTGGAGAGGTTTTTGCTATAGGGCGTGTGTGCTCAGTAGAAAGACAAAGAGAGACAGAGAGACAGAGAGCGGGAAATCACCCCCAGGGGGAAAAGCCACGCTCCTCTCAGGATCTTGGGCATGTATGCACACGTGCCGGGCGTGAGTTTAAGCCGCCGGATCTGGGACTTGAACCATGGTCAACTACATGGGAGTCCAGCTACATAGCCGTTATGCCAACTGCTGGTCTCCAGATTTTGTACTTTATAAAAAAGAATTATTTAAATTATTTGATCATTATTGACATTGTTTTTAAATTTGCTACAGGGCATATGTGCTCACCAGAGAGAGACAGAAAGAAAGACGGGGAGAAGTGAGAAAGCAAGCTGCCAGATCCAGGACTTGAACCATGGTCGGCCAGGTGGAGTCCAGTGCCCCAACCACCACCCTACCTGTTGGCCCCAGACTTTGTACTTTTCAGTTCCAGAACTTCCATTAAGTTCTTTTCCATTGTTCCAGTAAGGTATCTCTCTCTGTTTAGTCATCACACTCTTGTCTATTTTCAAACCGTCAGTATATATTAATTTAATTCCCGTTTTAAAAGCCTTTACCTGTTAATTCCAGCATTTGGGTCATTTTAAGATTTGTTTCTGTTTCTGCTTTTCCCTTGTAAGTGTCGGGATCTTGGGTACGCACGCACACGTGCCCAGCCTAAGTTTAAACCACTGGGTCTGGGACTTGAATGGCAGTCAACTACATGCGAGTCCAGCGAAACAGCCATTATGCCAACTGCTGGTCCCCAAAGGTCCCTTTAAAACTATATTACAGGGGACTGGCAGGTGGCATGGTGGGGGGTGCTGGATTCCCACATGGCTGACCGTGGTTCAAGTCTTGACCCTGGCAGCTTGCTTTCTCACTTTCCCTCTCTATTTCTCTCTCTCTCTCTGTTCCTCTCTGCTTAAATTTAAATAAATAAATAAGGTTAAATGCAATAATTCTTTTTTAAAAAATTACAGAATTTCACTTTAACCTGACGGTAATTAGGAGCCACTGAGGGCTAAGGGAGGGAGCTGACATGATTAGAATCTTGTATTTGAGGGACTAGCTGTTGAAGCGATGGCTATGTCCTGGACTCCCATGTAGTCAACTATGGTTCGTGTCCCGGACCCGGTGGCTTAAACTCACGCCGGGCGCGTGTGCGTGCGTGCCCAAGATCCCGAGAGGAGAATGGAGGAGAAGAGACTGTGGCATGACTACCCCCCTGGGGGTGATTTCTCGCTTTCTGTCTCTCTGTCTCTCTCTGTGTTTCTGGTGAGCACACGCGCCCTTATAACTAAAACCTCTCCAAAAAAAAAAGAAGAAAAGAATCTTGTATTCGAATGAATGTCCTGGCTCTGGCTGGCTGGGATGTGCTGTCTTTCCAAAAAATGCCAAAGACCTGGGAGTCCAGCCCCCCCCACCCCCGCCCCGAGTGCGCTTGCTAAGCATTTGGACAGGACACTCAGCACATTCACACGAGCACTGGCTCCCTGGGGGCCATACCTGCCCATGTCCTCCTTGGGAAGTATAAACGTCAGCTCCTCTCCAGTGTTGGACTCCAACCTTGCGCTCGGTATGTGCCGGTAAATCAGATGAGAGGTCCCATCTGTGTCACAGTGAGGCTTTTTCAACAGAGTCATGTAGTACCCTGCGCCTGGAGCACCGTTTAAAAGACCGTCAGACCGCTCTGCTCTATGCTTCTCCTGGGTCACATTTATTTACCTTCTGTAGCTTCGAATGGGACAGCTCCAGCAGAAAGACAAGTGGGGGCCCCTTGTGGCCACACTCAAGCCGCAGTGAATTTGCCTAGGAAGCTCTGGGGTCCCGAGTCTTGCCTTCTTCCCCATAACTGGGAGGAGAAAAGGCTGCAGAGCTGCCCGAGGGCAACAACCTCGGAAGTGAAAGTAACTTGGGGAGGAAAAGCTGGTAGGCCGAGGCCTTGCATGTTAAGGGACAGAACAAAAATGCCTCTACGGTAATTAAATGTCTCCGTGTTGGCATGCCTGCCAGTGCTACGCTGGCCATCTACTCCGCCAACACACGTGTCCCGAGGGCCTGCCAAGTGCCGGGCGCTGTTCTAGATACCGAGGACCAGTATCAAACACGGGACCAGAGTCAAACCCCGTATGTGCCCAGGGCTTCCGCCAACACAGGGGCGGCGCTGAGCCAGGCAAACACGTAAAACTTACACCACGTTAGTGGCTCCCACTAGGAGAAGAAATAGGGGAGGGGACAGGGAGGCTAAGGGGGCGTGTGACGCAGGAGCACCTCGGAGTGCATTCAGCCTTTGTGCTCACACTGCTGGGCTTCACAGAAGAAACCTGAGCCTTAGGCAGGGACGGGGAGGCCTGTTGAGAACTGTCTTTGCTTCCCTGAGAAGGCACGACCAGAGGACGCCGCTGGCTGGAGCCATCCTCCAGCAGAGACCCGACCTGCCCGACCCCCGCCTCCCTCGCCCTTTCTCAGTCCACAGCCCTTCGGAGCCCTAGGGGAACCCTCTTTCACTCCCAGGCCAGGGGTGCCAGAAGGCACACGTGCTCAGAGGTTGGGAGAGCACCCCCAATGGGGCTGTTTCTCCACCTCCGCAGGTCTGGGGCCGCAGTGCGGTCTTCAATCCACCTGGCTGTCCTGGGGGTCTGGCTCCCCGTTCACAGGACTTAACGTGTGGCCTGCTGGCTGGCCCCGGGAGGAAAGGTGTTTTAAACAGGGTGATGAGGGAAGCCCTCACTGAGAGCCCGATGCCTGCACAGACAGTGGGAGCGACGACCTGCGGGAGGACAGAAGGCGCCGTCTGCATGGCCTGCAGGGAAGGACACGAGGGAGCCCTGTGTCTGCATGGCCCGGTGGGACAGAGTGCAGGGGCCAGGCCAGGCCAGCCCTACAGCCCAGTCCAAGGACACACGCTTACCCTGAGTGGGAGGGGGTATCCTTGGAGGTTCTGAGCACTGTCAAAATCACACAGTGATTTTGGGGACAGAACGAGGAGGGGCCAGAACAGAGGCCAGGAGACGGCTGGGCTTATCACACACAATGATCCAGTTGGAGGCGAGGGCGGCCTGGACCCAGGTACTACAAAGTGGTCAGAGTGGGAAGATACGGACCCAACCCAGAGACATTAGTTTCTTAAAAAATTCATTTATTTATTCCCTAGTGAGAGAGACAGAGAGAGGAAAAGAGGCAGAGATACACCACCCCTGGCAAGGTCCCAGGGCTGCCATTCTACTATTCAGCCTCAGCCAGCCAAGACCAGGGACGCACATGTGCAGTGTCCTCGGAGAAGCTGGCCGCCGGCCGCCCCCACTCACCGTACTTCTGCTTGAGGAACAGCGACGAGCCACAGCACTGCAGCTCCCCCTTGGCCATGATGGCGATGCGGTCCCCCAGCAGGTTGGCCTCGTCCATGAAGTGGGTGGTCAGCAGGATGGTGTGGCCGCTTTTCTGCTGCTGCAGAAGGTCCCAGATGGCCCTCCTGGAGATGGCATCCATGCCCGAGGTGGGCTCATCCAGCAGCAACACCTGGGGCAGAGGAGCAGCGTCAGGGCGGCAGAGCCGCGGACCAGGCGCAGGCAGCCACGCTGTGAGGCTCGGTTGAGAGGCCTGCAGAGCCGGCTCGAGGGCTGCGGGCAACACCTGGGGCAGAGGAGCAGCGTCAGGGTGGCAGAGCCGCGGACCAGGCGCAGGTGGCCACGCGGGCCCCATGCACCTCGAGCTCTGTGAACGTGCAGCGGTACTGCCACGCCAATCTGCCTTTCCAGGGTGCCCAGGCCACGGCCGAAGGGCCAGCAGTCAGCGTGGGCCAAAGAGGAGCTTTAGCCCTACGCTCTGGGCCCTGCGGCCCCTTACCTTGGAGCCCGCGATGAGGGCGATGCCGATGGACAGCTTGCGCTTCATGCCCCCGCTCAGGAACAGGCTCCAGCAGTCCTGCTTGTCCTCCAGGCCCAGGGTGTGCAGCATCCTCTCCACCTCTTCCAGGCTCTGCTGCTGTGGCAAGCCTTTCATCTGCAAGGAGAGGGAACAGCAGGGATGAAGCAGGGGCTCCATCTGACCAACATGGCTTGTATGTACATAAAATGGACACAAGACAGAGGTGAGAGGAACTGCCTCTTCCGGGAAAGGGCTGGATGAGTGGCTCCCGCATACTGAACCGTGCAGGTGAATATGAAACTCAGCGCATCCAGCAGCGTGCTGAAGTGATTATACGGCATGCCAAGTGGGATTTATCCCAGGAGCGCAAGGGTGGTTCAACATATGAAACATCGGACTGTTTCTAATAAAGGGTGCAGCTGCTCTTTGTCCCTGGCTGCTGGCAGGGGCCCTTGAGATCCCTGGAATGCTAGGGAGAGGAAAGTCTCTGTTCCTGGTAACTGACACCTTGGGCCATACTCTGGATGGGATGGAACTGGCCATACCAGAAAGACAAACCGTCTGCTTGGACGGTCGAGGCTTTGAGCCACTGATGCCAGCGCGACCTCTCGACCTCCGGGAGGAGGGAGTCCTCCTGAGGGAAGGGACGCTGGGGACTGAGTCAATCCCACGGCCAGGTTCCGCTCATCCATGCCTACAGGATGTGACCCCAGTAAAACTCTGGGCCCTGCACGCTCAGGTGAGCTTCCGTGATAGACATCGACATTCTGAGGGTGACACACCTTCAGGGCACGAGGGCACATCTGGGGCTTTCCTAGACATTGTCCCATGTGTCTCTTCCTTTGTCTAGTCCTCAGTTGTGCGCTCCGTAACAAAACCGACAGTACGCACAGACTTGTCCTGGGCACTGTCGGCCATGCTAGTGACCTAGCGGACCTAGGGAGTCGTGGGAAGCCTGAATTGCAGCCGTCCCTCGGAGTGCTTTGTGTGGGAACTCCTAAGCTTCCGGGTTTCTGAAGTGGAAGTCTCACAGAGGCCAGCAGGTGACATGGTGGTTGAGGGCGCTAGAATCCCACATGGCCAACTGCAGTTCGAGTCCAGGACCTGGCAGCTTGCTTTGTCCCTCTCCCTCTCTCTCATTCTGTCTCTCTCTGGTCAAATTAAAAATAAATAAATAAAGTTAAATAAAAAATAATTCTTAAAAAAAAAAGACCCTCTCAGGTTGTACTGTCTCCCCATTCCCAAGAATGAACATAGAGGAAACAATTCCCTGGGACCCTCCAACTCACTTGAGCGTAGAAAGAAAGGTGTTCTGCTACTGTGAAATGGTCGAACAAGATGTCGTGCTGGGGGCACCAGCCCATGCTCTTCCTGATCTTAGCCATGTCTTCTGAGATCTCGTGCCCGTCGATATAGGCCTGCCCACTGGAAGGGCGGATAAGACCTAGAACGAGGCCAGACACACGCTGAGGTCACCTTCCGCCAGCACATACAGCCCTCCGCCGCCGCTGCGCCTCTCCCGTCCTCACCCTTCCACCCGAGTCGGCCACGCCCACGCAGGACGTGACGTACCGTGGGAGCGTAGGAGGGCGTGTGGGGAGCAGAGGGCAGGGCTGTCTTTCCCACTTTTGAGGAATTCCAATCTGAGTGAGTGAGTAAAATTTACACAGGGACTTGTAAAGCAAAGTACATTACGATAAGAGTTTAATAATACCTTGGATCCCTAGTAAATAGGTTAAAGAGCAAAAGATCTTGGGAATCTGAGTTTTGAATCGAGATGATCGAAAGCAAGGCTCGTGACGTACTTATCTCTGATTCCCAATAAATATCTGTTCAATAAATGGCGGACTGCACTCACTGACCAATGTATGACACTGTAAAATTCTGCCGTCTGCCCACCTGGATACCATCTTTGTTTTAATTCTCATTTTCCTCCTCTAAGTATATTCTTTAGATTGGAAAAAGGCAAGACATTCTTATTGCAACAAGGTTAGAAAAAGGAATAACAAAGAAAGCCAGTTACACACGACCCACCGTTAAAATATTGCTGCTGTTAACATTTTGCTATGTGGTCATATGTATTGTTTCTGTATAACCAACCCGCACACTGATTTCTATCCATTTATTTATTTATGTTTGCCTCTGTCTGACCCTCTGCCCTCTCCCGCCCTCTCCTCTCACTATCTCTGGTGTCTACAGTTGTCTCCCATTCCTTTCACACATTGATTTTCTAAGGAATCTTTTATTTAATTTTATTTATTATTTGTATTATTTTTTAATTTGCCGTAGGGCACATGTGCTCACCAGAGAGAGAGGAAGTGAGAAAGCAAATCACCAGGTCCAGGACTCAAACCGCAGTTGGCCACGTGGGAGTCCAGGGCCTCAACCACCATGCCACCCACTGCCTCCCTCCCCGATTACTTTGAACAGAAATGGGAAAAATACAAATTCTAGTTTGTGTAATTTTTTTTTTTACTTGTGCTCACTTAAGAGAGGGAAAATAGAGGGGGAAAGCATCCCCGGGGGCGGTCCCGTCAGTCCCTTCTCCCTCCTCCATCCTGTTAGGATCTGGGGCACTCACGCATATATGCCCAGCATGTTTCTCAAGCCACCGAGACAGACTGTGCCACTGGCCACATGGAATGCAGCTCCCTAAGCAACATGCCTGGGGCTGGCCCTGTTTTTTTGGTCTCCAGAGGGTGTGTGCACTAGCCAAAGAGAGACAGAGACAGAGAGCGGGAGAAAGCACCCTTCAATGGGAGGTGCTCAGGCTGCAATCCCTTTTTCACTCCTTCCTCCCGTCAAGATTTCGAGCACACACTGACCTGCATCCAGCATATTTTCAAGCCACTGGGGCCAGGATTTGAGCCCTGGTTGGCCATGTGGGATCTGGCTCCTTAACCAGTAGGCTAGGGGCCAGCCCAAAATTCTGGTTTTTTAACTAGGTTTTTTCATATAGCAATATATTGAGACCTGTTGTCCACATCGATAGATCATACCTTTTAACTTTTTTTTAGGTTTTTACCATGGGGTGTGTGTACTTACTAGGGAAAGTTTTTTTTAGAGACAGACAAATAGATACAGAGAGAGAGAAAGTGAGAGATCACCTCCCAGGGGGATGGCCACACTGTAAGCCCTCTTCCTCCATTCTCCTCTTGGGATTTTGGGCACATGCACACATACGCCCAGCACTGGCTTCAAGCCACTGGGGCTGGGACTCACACCACAGTCGTCCAGGTGGGAGTTCAGTGCCTGAACCACCACACCACCTGCTGGCCCAGTTCTACAACTTTTTTTTTAAAGAGAGGTTTCTGCTATAGGGTGCTGGCACTTGCCAGGGAGACAGAAAGCTGGAAATCACCCCCAGGGGAGTGGCCACACCGCAGTCTCTTCTCCATTCTCCTCTCGGGATCTTGGGCAAGTACACACATATGCTCGGCATGAGTTTTAAGCTGCCGGGTCTGGGACTCAAACCACAATCAACTATGATCAATTAAGTAGGAGTCCAGAAATGGAGCCCTCACACTGTCTGCTGGTCCTGCTCTATACTGTTTTTAAGAGCTAAAAAGATTTTATCAACACTAATGCGTCCTCTGTATTTCCTGGCCCACTGATCAGATATTTAGGTTATTTGCAATTTCTCATAGGTATAGACAGAATATCACTTTGCATATTTCTGTAATATTCCTCACTCTAAGTCAGTGTACATGATGTGCAGGTCGAGAGGGGAGTAAGACCGTCAAGGCTTCGCTACTGCTCCTCACTGGCCAGCGGGCTTGGAGCTGTCATTCCGGCCGAGGTTAAGACTGGGGGGAAAGGGAAGGAGGCGGCAGGATTCTATCGAAAGGGCAGCCAGCGTTTTACGTGAAGTTACAGTAACGGAAACTGAACAGAACAGCTTATGGGACAGCTAGAAAGCCACATCCTCTA